TGAGGGGACGATCCTCACTCCCAGGAGGGGCTTCCGGGGAGGGGGGCGGCCTGGGCCCAGGAAGGACCCCCGTCTGCCCATTGGAGCCAACAGGGCAGAAATACTAAGGGAGAGAAAGGGGCCGGGGCCTGTGGGGGTTCGGCATCCAGAGGCTCTGGCATGTTGGTGGGTCGCCTGTGCAAAGTCTGTTTTATGCTGGCGTCCCCTGCTCGTAGCAGCCCCCCGCCTTGCCCTTTCCTCTTTCGCCATCAGAATGCTCCCCCCTAAAGTGACTACAGCCTCTCTGAAAAGTCCGGAAAAATCAACCAGTCTCAGCGTCTGAGCCTGGGCCTCGCCTGCGCCTCGCCGGGGGACTGGCCAGCAAGGCATGCTCTCAGGCCCCATCGTGCCAGTGCACCCAGTGCGGGTGATGAAGTTCCGACTCCTCGCGATCCCGGGGCGCTCAGAGCAGAACTGTGCTTGGTGAGGTTTTCAAATGGCCGCTTGGTCGGAGGGAGACCTCCAGACCTTTCTGCTGAGGGAGCTTGAACCTCCAACCTTCCAGTTAGCAGCTGAGCACATTCCCTTTCTGTGTCCCCCCCACATCTCTGGGCCCGTCTTCCACCCACTGGTCTGGAGTCAGGGCGCCAACCATCTGTGTCTTAGCCAGGCCCCCTCGCGGTTGTCCTGATGCTCACTTGAAGGAGCGCTGCTCTAAAGCGTGCCCGCCCCGCCCCCCACAATCAGCAGAAAGCCAGCTCCCCGCTCCCCAGGGTGTTGCTGACACCTCTGAGCTGTGGTTGTCACATATCCTGTCCGCAGGGTGATGGGCCACGAACTGCCCCCTAATTCGGAGCGGAAGCCACTGGGGACACCAGGAGCTGCTGGGGACACCAGGAAGGGTCCATTAGGCTCTGGGGAAGATTGCGGGCAGGATGACTGTGGGGAGCGCAGCACAAACTGGGGCCCAAACCCAGCGGCAGTGCTGGTTCTGGTTGGGGCTGGTTTCTAACAGGGGTTCCATGACCTCGGGCAATGGTTTGGAGGGCTGCACACTTTTCTGGTATCGACGACTTCTCTCGCCCCATTGCTGCCAAGTCAACCCCAACTCAGGCTATTAAAAACCCATGCCGTTGGAGCGAAGTGGAGAGTTTGGTGGAGGGCTCAGCAGACTATGGGTGCCCTGCTCCAGGCCCCAGATTGGGTGGGGTGTGTTGTGATGCTGCACACAGAGCCCCTGACAAAGGGCCTGCCCCGAAACAGACTGCTGCACCGCTCTGCGCCCTTTCCTGGCCACTCCGCCTGCCTCTGATGGCTCAGACCCACGCCCCTACTAAACACCTCCCCCACACCCTCCCCGTGGACTGGATGCCTCCCCCAGAGTAGACACCCTCCCCGCTAGATACCCTGCCCCACCAGACAGCCTCCCCCTTATCCTAGACACCCTCCCTCCGGATGCCCTCCCCAGATACCATCCCCACTAGATGCCCTCTCCCTTGCTACTTGGTCAGTCACGTAGAACACATCCGTAACTGACACGTTTCATGGAAACTGACCCCCAAAGATGGATGCTTCTCTCAGTGGCTCAAATGGGGTCTTTGCGGGTGGGCTTCTTCTCCGGGGTGGTCTCTCCCTGACACATGCACCCTGTATTAGTCTGGGTACTTTGGAGAAACAAATCCACAGCGACTCATGTATAAGAGAGAGTTTTATGTAAAGAAAGTGTGCATCATGAAAACATCCCAACCCAATGCTGCCCAAGCCCACAAGTCCAACATTAACCCATTAACCCAACACCAGTCCACAAAGTCCTCCACCTCACAAAACAGAGGCAATGATGCCGACTGCAGGAGGAAAGCTGAGTCAGTGAACGTGTAAGCATCTCAGCACTAGCAGGGGTCTCCACACCGCTGCTCCAGCACCCAGGGCTGCATCGGGATAGGTCCATGTGGCTTCTCCTTGGGGATGTCTTGTAGGAAGTCAATCTTGCAAGCTGAAGCAGGGAACCGCTAAAGTAGCTGCACCCTGGTGCAACCATCACAAAGCAAGAGACACGAGAACTAGAAAGGCGAGGCTCACCACCCACTTATTCCTCCGCCTTTCAACCAGCCCCACATGTGATTATCGGCCAGGCTGGCACAATTAACTAACTCACCCCGCCCCCCCCCCCCCCAGGTACCGAGAGTTGGGAAGGGCTTTCCCAGGACCTCCCACTACGATGCAGGGCCACAGTGCTGGTGCTGGCAGGGGCCCAGGCCTCCACAGAGACAGGGTCTTCATGAAGAAAGGCTCCTGAGAGGACACGCTACTGAGTGTCCAGCGAATAGCCAAGGTCACTCTCTCCTTAAACCACTAAGCATGTTATTCCAAATCAGTGGAGCTGAAAAGGTTTATGTAAAAGCCTCTGAAATATCCCTGTTGGAAGGGGGAAAGCAGGATCCAGAGGATTAGAACAGAGGCTGTCGGTGCTACAGGGTCAAGTGCCCCCAAATCTTCAAACATGGAAAGCTGGGTTACTGACTTTCTGTGCCTCCGGGCCTCATCCCACTGCTGCTACTCCTCCAGGGAGAGGACCTTCACTCTGTGTCCCCCCACCCCCCTCAGAAAGCCCCTCACTTGGCCTCAGGGTGATATTTGAAATCCTTAACCACCGGCCGGGCCTATC